AAACTTGGATAAAGGACAAAACAAAATAAATATTTTTTAGAACGTTCTAAAAAAAAAACTATTTTTTACAAAAATGTTAATCATTTCAATTAAATGTTTTTAATCCTTTTATTCGTGAGGAGCTGGATGAGAAGAAACTCTCACGTCCGGTTCTGTAGTAGAGATGGAATTGTGAAACAACCATCAACTATAACCCCAAAAGAACTAGATTCCGTAAACAACATAGAGGAAGACTGAAGGGAATATCTTATCGAGGTAATCATATTTGTTTCGGTAAATATGCTCTTCAGGCACTTGAACCTGCTTGGATCACATCTAGACAAATCGAAGCAGGTCGACGAGCAATGACACGAAATGCACGCCGTGGTGGAAAAATCTGGGTCCGTATATTTCCAGACAAACCGGTTACAGTAAGACCCGCTGAAACACGTATGGGTTCGGGAAAGGGATCCCCTGAATATTGGGTAGCTGTTGTTAAACCAGGTCGAATACTATACGAAATGGGTGGAGTAACCGAAAATATAGCTAGAAGGGCTATTTCAATAGCAGCATCCAGTAGATCTGTTCCGACCAAAATGGGAATGGGCTAGGGTTATGAACTTATAATCTGATGATCGAGTATTTTCTCATAGTAATTTCGACTCTACCTTCCCGGAGTTCATTCTCCGGGGAACTCTCTTGATTCAACAAACTTCCACTGTACAAGCAGCCATTTCCATAACTGTCCTATTTTTCCTCTCACTGACTCCATTCTATTGAGGAAAATAGGGAATAGTTAACTGATACTTGACACCTTCAGTTCTACAGAAGTCATCAAACTACTTGCAGTTGTACTCAGTGTCATTGTCTGTTCTGATGTCTTATTCCTGCAGCCACTTTCATTCTTCACCATTCTCTTGAACGTTTGAAACACATATGAAACTTCGGACTTTACTTTCAAGAAGTAGACATAACACAATCTTGTTAAGTCATCAATGAAGAGGATGAAATATCTGCTGCCATTTAATGTAGTCACTTTCATTGGACCACATACATCTGAGTATACTAACTCAAGTTTGTTAATAGCTCTTCTTGACTGATTCTTTGGAAAGGGCGATCTGGTTTGCTTTCCAAGTTGACAAATATCACAAACATAGGCTTCATTAATGATTTTAGGCATGCTTTCAACAAGATTATAATCATACATTTGCTTAGGTGAAGTATGATTAGAATGACCAAATCGTCTATGCCATATAGAAGTCTCATTTTCTTCAACTAAACATGCTTGTGTAGTGACATTTCTCCAATTTATAGGAAAGCTCCTATTTCTCATTTGAACTGTCATCAACTCATTTCCATTTTCATCTAATATAGTGCAGGCATTTTCTTTAAACATTAAAGAATGTTTTTCTCTAACAATTACCCTACACTTATTAGATTTTGATATATCTCAGGCACATATAAAACATTAGGAATGTGCTTAATACCTGTTGAAGTCTAGACAGCAATCACTCCACTGCCTTTTACTTTTACAAAGTCACCATTTCCCACTTTAACTCTGGATTTGTAGGCTTTGTTCATTTTCATAAATATGCTGGAGTCTGTAGTCATGTGATGAGTGCAACCACTATCAAATAGCTAAGTTTCAACCTTGCTACAAACTTTAATAGCACAGAACAGATGCTCTTCTAGCCTTTCTTCCTTTTTTCTATCATTTTTGCTTGCTGATGTGGTTGATTCCTTCTTTTGTTTTTGCACACCATCTCAATATGACCAAATTGTTTGCAGCCTCTACATTGAACTCCAGGCCTATACCAACAAAATTTTGGAGAATGGCCCTTTATTTTACAATGAGGATAAGGTGCAAATTTATCCTCTTTGTTTTCATTCCTTCTACCTTCAGGTTCTCTTCTCTGAACCTCAAGTTTTTTTGCTCCAAAATTCTTTTGAGCTTTGAATTTTCCTTTAGCAAATAAAACACCTTCTGATTGTTCCTCCTGTATCATTAGCCTTCTTTGTTCAGTTGCCTGCAAAGCATTCACCAATTCAGCCAAGGTCATTGTTGACAGGTCTCTAGAATCCTCTAATGAAGATATCTTGGATTCAAACTTTTCAAGTAGGCTAATTAAAACCTTTTTCACCACTCTTTTATTTGGTAAATCATCTTCCAGAAGTCTGATTTAATTTACAATCTTCATCATCCTATATGAAAAATCTTTGACAACTTCAGTCTCCTTAATCTTCAAAGTCTCAAACTCTCTTCTTAGATTGAGAACTTTCATTTATCTCGTTCTTTCATTACCTTGATATTCTTCTTTCAGAATATCCCAGGCTTCTTTTGTATTTTCACAAGTCATAATTCTTGTGAATATTGTATCTGAAACGGCTAACTAAATGCAAGATAGAGCTTTGAACTTCTTTGCTACACCTTCACTATGCTGCTTTATTTGAGCCATTGTTGGATTAACCCTCAGAAGAGCGGGTTCAACTCCAGTATCAGTGATCTCCCATAGATCATAAGTTTTAAGATAAGCTTTCATTTTTGCAGGCCGAAAATTATAGTTTTCTCCATTGAAGGTAGATGGTGTGGTGCTGAAAATCCTGTTGAAGCCATTTCTTTCCTGTCTAACTTTGCTGATTGTTTCTTTATGAGCTTCTTCCTCTCTTCTTCTTCTTCCCTTCTTCAGAGTCCCTTTCTAAGATCAATTCAGCTCTGATACCATGATGGAAGATATGAATCTAAGAGTGGAACTCACCAAATTTGCAATAATCTAACCGGATTTAACATTCCTAACCGTTTAGTTCTACTCACCGTATATTTACTCAACATATCGGATATACACTTGGCTTACCGTATATGCAAAGCACTTACAAGATTTACCAAAGGAAATTCTGTTTCAATGTAAAATAGAGTGCCTGTCGAATTTACACTGAAGTTACCGTATTTGCACTCTTCTCACCGTATATGCTTAAACGCTCACCGAAATTGCTACTGTCATGTTCTGTTTTCTGCCCAAGTAAAATTACTCTGTTTTTCTGGAAGTTTAAGAAAAAAGGTTGAAGCTATATTTTCATACAATACTTGAGGTATTTATAGGATTACATAGACATGTTTTCCACCTCCTTTAAACTAACAAACCATCATTAAAAAGATCTAACTATGATAACTTTTACAAAGATTAAGTTATCAAATTGAACACTTAAACTTAAGACTTAAGATACAAAATATCTAGCCTACTAAAACAAAAAATCTAAAAGTAAGAATGTCAACTATATTCAACACTATCTTACGTAATTCGGTTAATTCCGTTTTTTCTTCCCTTATGATTTCTGTTCTCTCTAGTTGCATTACAATTTCCGTTCTCTTTAGTTGGAGATGGATATGAAACTCCTAGAGGGATTTTCAAGGTGTTAAATTATTTTCCTTGTAGCAACTGAGAATACATTCAATGTGGAGTAAATTCAATTGTCGCTTGACCGGCTCAGTTTGTCATGCATGGACTATAGGGCGGCCCATGCCATGATTTTTATAATAGTTAATAGTACCAAACTTGGTGTCAAAGACCGCAACTTTACTTAGACCCTTGACACAATCGCAGCCGTAGTTTGCCCAATTTCGACCGCACATTGTAAATATTAGTTCAGTTTGAGTTGTAATTTCCTTTTCATTGTAAAGTTTATTTCAATTTTAAAATGGCTCTGATATTGGTAAACATTTAGTATGATTCCTCGTCATTTAAATATCTACTCCTATCACTTAAGTTTTTGTTTCGCAAGCTATTATAGGGGGTATTAGTCATTCAAAAATCTTTCAAACTTTCTGGTATTCGTCTCCCTGCACCAACCATTACAATTTTCTATTTTCATCAATTGTAATTTTCGCTTTCATCAATCAATGATCAATTTATTTTCAATGCAAGCTTTCCACAAATTATAATCAAATTTTTTTTGTCCCGAAATGGCCGAGAAAAGGCTGAAGGTAGTCTAGCAGAGCACACTACTGCAGTACGATATCCCTTTTTGTGCAAAGAAGAAAGGCACCCCGTAAAACTTGGTCAGGTATTAGTATTTCTTATTCTATGTTAATACAATTACTAGCCCGAAAGATTGAGAAGAGTCTTCATTACCCGATGTGATGTTATTTTGAGCTCACATCTACTCCATAAGGGCCCATATATAATGAAATTTCTTGTATTCTCCAAAATTGTATTAAAGTAGGGGAATGTGTTTGTGCCTATTTCTTATAAACTTAGGCATAAGAAAACTGAAGAATATTGCTCATTCACCATATAAATGTAATCTGACGTTAATCTTTCCACTCTTTTGCTTTCGCAAATAATGCTAGTGTTACAAAACCCAAAGGGTAAAATGAAAGGTTCTACTATTACTGGTCATATTCGAAGAACTAAGGAATGTGCTGATCTATGTCAAAGGACACAACAGAAAAGGTTTTTAAAAAATATTTTTCAGATGATCAACACACAATATGAATGCTGAGTTAAAACCAATGTTTGGAAATGAAGCACAGCAATGAAACAATCCAATCATGAAACCTCTATGTGATGTGTGTACAAGTGTGATACAAACTTAGGTAATGCACAGGTATATGATGCAGGTAAATATGTTTTTCAGGTTACAAGTTAATCATAAGAATTCAGTAACCAATCAATCGTGCATAAAATGGTAAAAATACCAAACCTAACATATCGGAGAGTTTGGAATAATCTTACCAACCAACTGTTTGAAAAAACAGTAACAATACCCTGAGCTCCTCAATTGAGCAAGCCAGCCAAAGTTCTCCAAATCACTTGGTCCATTCAACAACATACACAACAAATAAAACACGAGAAATCAGTGTCGAAATCTGAAAAAACAAGATGCCCAAAAACAGTAATAGTTTATATTTAATCCTCAAAAGGCATATACAGATATATTACGGATAGAATCGAAAAATCCCAAATCAGTGAAGGATAAAATGAAACCCTAGACCTATTGGTACAAGGAAGAAGAGGAAAGATGAAAACCACAGAGAAGAGAGCAAACGGACCAGAGAGAGCGTATTTGAAGAAGAGTGAAAAGGAAGAGTATAAAGGAAGCCAAAACCACATGAATTTTCAGAGACCAAATGTCAAGGCCAACAAAATATCTAGTCAAGTTTTAATCCCAACCATCCAATTTATCCAAAGGCCAAAATTGAAAGTAGCACAAGCCGGGTCAGCCCAATGGGTTAGGAGAACTACAAAAGCCCACATTCCAAAGGCCACCTTGGTTCTCTTAACACACTCTCTCGGTTGCGAATTTGCACATGAAAGAACTGTTCATCATCATCACCCACTACCTGCAAGAAAAATTAACCAGTGTTAATATGTAACAAAGATAAGTACAATTTAAATTTACCTGCAGGCAGAATTTTTGTACACACATCAGAGGGATTCCTATCAGAATGAATCTTAACAAGTTCGATTACACCTTGAGAATGCTTCTCACGTATAAAATGATNTTCACCTTAATATGTTTAGATCTCTCATGATAAATAGGGTTCTTACTAAGTGACAATGTACTTTGACTATCAGTAGACATAATAGGTGTATCATGCATAAAGTTCAATTCT